AAGATTATTTATTTTCACTTGACTGAGAACATCTTTTATATTACAAAGACAGCAATCCAAGTGAACCTTGATCTCAACTGTTGGTTCATACAGCAAGAAACACAAGTTGACTGTGAGCTATTCGTAGGATCTGCTGTGCTTTCTGCACTAGTGATTAGCAGGGCTCTTTCACTAGGAAGATGACAGGTCGTTTAATGGGAAATATTTGAACTAACGCTTCTAGTAACAGAGTTAGAAAACTAAAGCTCTGAATTACAACTTAGACGTTAACGTCTGTTTCTTTTACCAACGGTAGCTTAATAACTTTGAACCTATATGAGAAAGTTTGTATGAAAAATTTGTAAATGTAGTCTTATTCAAAAAACAACTTCATCAGTCTTGAAGTTCCATTCATTCCTTTAACTACGGAGCCTATGTTTAATACCCCCCTTTTTTTAATGGAATTTTATTAAATCTTATTTTGTGATTCTGGGGAGTAAAGTGTAAGAATTTGAAAGTTTTGGGGAGAAAAAGCAGAAACAAGTGGGGGCTAAATTAAAATTTTCTAGATATTTTGATGCAATCACCATTCAATGAAAAGAAAAACGGAGAAGAAGAAGAAGAAGGAAAAGAAAGGAAAAGAGAGAAGGAAAAGGAGAGAAAGAAAAGAGAGGAAAGAGAGAAAGAAGAAGAAGAGAATGAGAGAAAAAATAAAAGAAAGAAGGGAGAGAAAGATGAAACCGAGAATAGAGAGAGAGAAGAAAAGAGGGCGGCGGAGGGGGTTGGAAAAGTGGCCGCCGGCAGGCTAAACTCCGGTGATCGGAGAGTGGAGGAAGATCAAGCATATGGGAGGTGCGTAAAGCATGATATTTCTCTTTTTGGTGATTTATGATTCAATTGGTTTAAAGAACTCTCTTTGGATTGTTTTGTCTATGATTTGGTATAAATTCATGAAAACAAAACTGAAATGTGGAGATTGATTGCAATACTTTAGGTGGGTAAAGCATATATGTTGTTCCTAAACTCAATTTGTTACAGATGTGATTTTGGGTATGGAAGTTTACACTGTGAAGCCTGACCATTTGGACTTTCAAAAAATTTATCTAAACTCTGGTTTTTCCGTTGGAGCTCAAATCCGAATATGTTGTTTTAGACTTCTTGAGGAGTGTTTGCAAAATTATTTCACTCACAAATTCGAATTATTGGATTTTTTATAGATTTTTGAAATCTACCCTAAAAATTCTGGAATTTTCGTTTTCTGCAGAACATGTATTTTTGGAAAATGATTTGATGCAACTATTCTTATCCAAATTGAGTGATTTAAATTCTGGTGAATCCTATATGGGTCTAGTTTAATTCTGCAGAGTTTCATGAGGTTTAGATTAATGGCTGAATTGTTATGCAATCAACCAAGATACAACCAGAAACAAGCAAGAAAACAGAAACCACAAACAATCAACACCAGATCTTTACCGTGGTTCACTTGCCCGATTTGAGCAAGCTATATCCACATTAAACTCCGAAAAGGGAGTTCGCTGCACTATGATTATAGAACAACCAATTACAGTCACTATTACAAAGAATGACACCCAAGAACCCAGATCAAACAACTCTGGTTCAAACCCGTAATCTGCCCTAGGAATCCTCTAACCTGGAAATCCCTATAACAAGAACACAGTAGTTCTTCCCTTGATTGATTTAACCCAAACCACTCAAGAAACCCACAGATTACACTGAAATCAGACCCAAAAGAAAGAACCCTAATCTCACAAAAGAAAACGAAATACGGCTCTCAACTTTTATGTTTTGATCTACTGTTACAATAAGAAACCCTAATCCTTTTATAGTGTTGGCTGGAGGCTTGATCTCAGCCGTTGGTTTTTCCTCTGAATCAGCGGTCAGGATCATCTTGAAGCTGTCTCAAAACGACATCGTTCCATTAATACTCAGTACGACGCCATTTCAGCATTCACTCACAACATGAATTTTAAAAGTCAGTAACCTCAATTCTGGAAACAGTTGACAGATTCGAATGAGTTGAAAGAAAATTGTGTTTTAAATAGTTATTGATTCTAGAATGACTCGAGAAAATTATAGGAACAATTTATGTGTCTCTAGAATGCCCAATTAAAATTATGGCTTAAATTTATGAATGAAATTTTTATGAAAAATTCGAGAGCGATTTATATTCGGTTAAGAGACAGTTTTGTTAAAGAAGAAGTTATGTTAATCTTTTAGTGTGTGAAGTGTCCAATGATTTTAATATCGAGGTGTTACCTTATGCAGACTTATGTATAGAGGATTTTATTTCATCATATGTTTCATAATTGTGTTTATTTTCCGCTGTAAAGTTTATGTTTCTTCATATATATTTATTTGATGTTTTAGATTGTAAAAGATATAGAAAAATCTGATACCATACGTTCATTTTGTAAAAGAAAATTCAATTATATTTATTTATTTGCAAATGATGGTATATTTATTTGTGAGAAACAAAAAGGAGTGTTTATAAATGTTTTAGCTAGGAGAGTTTTATAATGTTTTAATTCATAAACAGGTTTTCATAGTTTTCTCACATGGCATGTCTCAGTCACTTGAGTCTCATAGGTGCACCCGGAGCCTATGGGATAGGGAGGGTTGGGATGGGTAGTGTCACTGGGCCTCTTCTGGAATGAAGTTTGAATGCAGCTAGCACACTGTCCTCAACATATTCACTGAAATATCAAACTGCCACTTCTAGTTATAGAATTGAAAATTCAATCATAATAAGATCAATAATCAATCTAGTTAGTAAGAAATGGTTCTAATAAGACAGAATATATTACATTATGTAAAATAAATAAATAATGTCACCTGTTTTCATTGACGGCATGTAACACTTCTCCATTGATGTCAAAGTTTTACCCACGTACATTAACGTTGTGAAAACAACCATTACCGCTAAAAGAACAGGCACCCATAGCCACCCATCTTTGAAGACAATGAACATAGTTGCAGAAAACGCTCCCATCATTGCTTCTACGGAGTATAGAACTGAGAACATGCCACGAGCAAAATCACCACCTATCTGCCAAAAGAAATCTGCTTCTTCACATCGGGAAGAGATAACCGATAAGAACATCGTTATCGAGTAAGAGGACAATAGTAATGCTATAGTATCTGATATTGCAAAAACTATGAAGGAAGCTCTTCGCAAAAAATTTGGAGTCCCTATATTTTCCTTGGTGCCACCTGGTACAGTGAAAAGTGTAGCGAAGACCACGGTGGCAATAATTACTAACACCATGATGCAGGCATTTGCAGTCTTCTTGGTCCATTTATCAGCTTTTTCCCTTAACTCTTTGTACTATTCAGTAAATAAAGCTCTAGGAGTTTTCCTTTCATTATTTTTAGCTTCAGCTACCACTGGATGTAAAATTCTCTTCACTCCCTACAATACTTAGGAAACATCTATCAGTCAAGAGAAATAAATATGATTTTTTCGAACCAAAGAGGGGAGTAAATTAATATTCACCTCGAACCACCATATCTCCCTTTTCAATAGACAAGTTACTACAGGCGATTCAATATCAGGTGTATCTACTGGTGGCAACTTTGCAGCCAAATGCAAGATATTGTTCCCTTCTTTATCTGTGTTTCAAACTAACAAATCCTTAAATGGACCAATGTGATACATGGCGTTGAAAATGTTACGGCGACGATACCTAACAGCAACATGAAGTATGGTGTAATTATTTTCGTCAACTTCAAACATCAGGTCAGGATATCTGGAGAAAATTATGTCTAGAAACCGACGGTTTCCTTATTTTGCAGCCTCGAATATTAGGGACCAAGGTTTTCTAATAATTTCCAGAATCTGGTAGTCATCCAAAACCAAAAGCATAACTTGTTTCCAAAGACATTCGACTAGTTCAAAAGCTGAATCGGGAATCTCTTGACCAGTATCTGAAACAAGAAGTTTAGTTTAACCAAAGCCAACATTAGTTTTAGAAAGTTGAGGATGAGGAAAATACTAGAGAGGAACTTGATTTATCTTCTTAACGAGACACTGAAAATGCTCATCATAGACAATAATTAACTTTTATTAACTGAAATTTAATTCTATATTTTAATTTACACGAGAATTTTCATTTGTATTTAATATTGGGTTGATTCTAGTAGTGCACCCATAAATATTAAATACCTCCATCTTCACTATTTTTATACCTGACTGTTAAAAAATAATTAAAAACCTCGTCAAAGCTAAGGTATTTAAAAAAAAAAAAAATTGAAGCAAATACCCACAATGCACTTGACTTTGTGCCTCATAAACCCGATACCTCCAACCCAGCCTTTTCCTCCTCTTTTGCTTTTTCTCATTAATCTGTTGCTCCTTCTCATTCATTTGATCCCTTAAGCTCCTTCTCATTCATTTGATCCCTTAAGCTCAGCTTATTCCTCTCCTTCACCCGCTGCATCCCAAGCATGGACTGACATCTCTTTATCACGTCTCTTTTTACATCATTATCTGTTTTAAAACAAAATGAAATTAAACACATTTTCTCTTACTTACAATTATATATATTAATATTATGATTTAAAAAAAAAAAAAAAACTAATTAAGGCAATCTGAAAGTTATAATGATTAGAGAGAACTAACACAAGTAGATGGCTGATTTCTTGCAAATTTTAATGGCGTTGAAGTCTAAAATACGCGTGAACACAGGTAATCGTGCCAAGTGATGCAATGTTGTCTTCTCATTTTTATCACGTGCAAGAGCTATCTATGGGTGCCTCTCCACCAAATGTAATGAAACATCTAGGAGAACAGTGATCACCATTATAAATTATATAGACTCAAGTTTACACTTTGGATTCAGATATTTGCTAGCCCGAATATAAATATAAATACAAACCATGGTTTATCGATTATAATTAATACTACTTACCATACCAGCCGTGGTTTATGAGGCTGATAAGCAATTCGATGAGATCAGTATCATGATCTAATATCACATCAGCAGTGGCTTCATAAAGGTATTCTATGTCTCTTTGTCTCCAATTAGAGCTGCCTTATGAAGCGGTAAAATATCATTGGCCCCTCTAATCTTTACTCTGTCTTCATTCTTCTTCATCATAGCCTTGAAAATTTCAACCCTCTCGGACGCAACTGCAAGAAAAAAAGCCATATTGCCAGCATTATTTTTTACAGCTAAATCCTCTTTATTCATTTTTTCAAGCAGCTTTTTCACAAAACCAGTGTGCCTTGCTGCAGCTGAAATATGGAGAGCGGTGCCCCCATCCTTTGATAGCTTAACTAGTATATCAATATCCTCTTCCTTGTAAATTCTTTCAGTAGTGTTCCAATCACCTTCCAATGCAGCCCTGTACAATTTGAAGTGCCTACTTCTCCTTTCAATTTCTATCAAGTTGAAAAAAGAACAAGTTTATGAATAAAATTTTTGCTACACATAATGAAAGGGATGCTCTAGCCTATAATCAATATAATAGAAAAGACTTTACCTTTTGAGAATGAGATAGAATTTTGCAGCAGCAGCACTGTTTCTTCTTCTATCGTGGAAGAGTCCACCAATACATTCACATTAAACTCTGATTATTAAAATTAAGAGAAGATAATTAAGTACAGTTAAGAAAGGTTACAGGTAGACTTTTGATATATAAAAAGTTTATTATGTTAACTTTGTAATTCCTCCTCATAAATTTGAATAGACCATTATAAACTATTAAAACATTTTTTTTTTAAATTATGTTTAAAAAACATTTATGGATAGATTTTTAGCCATAAATAAATAAATGAATATATATATATATATATATAATAAATGCAATAAGTGACATCAATATGTGCTGGTGAACATATCAAGACGTTCTCTAAAATAAATAAAATATCTAAGTTTTAATGCATGTACTATAGAATTATATCTTGTGTGCTAATATGAATCTTCTATCTTTATTTTGTTAGAGTCTCACACTCAAGTTTATTAGTTTACAAGAAGAGATAATTCTCCCATTCAACAATGTCTTATTGGGTGAGGAGTCAAGCACATCTCAAATTCTATCATGATATTCTTATTGGGTGAGGAGTTAGACTCACTTCAAATTCTATCATGGTATCAGAGCTACAAGAAATATATTATATTGTGACAAAATTAATTTTATCACGTGTTATTTTGTCACTAGTAATATAGGTATTATGACAAAATAAAGAAATATCACATTAAATATGACAAAGAGAATATACAGTGACTAAAAAAAAAATTGTCATAATATTTTATCACAACAAAGAAACCCATAAGAAATATAGTGAAGAAAAACATTTTTATCATAATATTTCGTCACTAATTTTTGGAGTCAAATTTTGGCGCATAGGAAAATTGTTTATTGTGACAAACATATTTTATCATAAAACATTTTAGTCACTAGATTTAGTTATACATGCTATAACTACAAATTATTTTGTCACAAAAGAATTTATTCATTATTACAAAAAAAAAAAAATTGTTATAATATATGCTGAAATAGAGGTATTAATGAAAAAATGTTTGAGTCAAAATTTAAACACCGAGATAAATTATTTATCATGACAAATATATTTGTCATAAAAACTTTAGTCAACATATTTAGTAATGCATGCTATAATTACAAACTAATTTATCAGAAAATAATTATTTATCATAACCAAAAAAAAAAATTATCATTTATAAATGTTAAAATCGAGATATTAACAATAAAATATTTGAGTCAAATCACTACAAGAAAATGTAGGCTTCGTTTGGTTGGATTTTGGGAATACTACTTTTAGTATTCCCAAAAAAATTAAACAGTAAAATACCCAAAAACTCACAATATTATTCAACTTTATTAAACATTTTTTAAACCCCCTAAATTTGTTAATTCAATTAAATACCCCTAAATATTTTTAATATTTTTGTTACGGCGACTCCGGCCACCCTCCGGCGGTGGTGGCCGGCTGTCCGTATTTGAGGGTGGATTGGGGGTGTTTTTGTTAACTTTTAATGTTTTATTATAAGGGGTGTTTTGTAAAAAAANTCATCCGTACTTATATCAACTCATGATATCTTTCGGAAGCATCCGGTATGCCTACTGTGCAATATAGTTGCCCAAATTATATTGCTTCCGTAGGGAACCCTTTTCGATAATTCATTTACCGATTAAATGAATCATCTGGACAATTTATATACATACTTTATTTTAAATGCATGATTGAATAAAGGAAGCAATTTACATATATGAATTGAAGAACTATTTCTTCTATTATTTATGATATATATATATATATATAAGACAAAATGCTCTGAAAGCGACAACACGAATGGTTTAGGGTTTAGTTCTACTAAATCCAATTCGAATTTGAATTCTACTAAATCTCCTAAAAATATTCTAAAATCCTAAAATAACCTTTATCCTAATCTGAGTAATTGAAAATAAAATAAAGTCCTAAAACAAAAAAGGAAAGTGGTGTTTCCAGCTGTAATTTGCGTGCAACAGGTCCTCAAAATTTCTTGTAATAATCTGCTTATTTGAATTGCATGTCAAAGCGGAATGTCCTAGAACATCGGCAGTACAGGTGCGTCAACTTCAAGCCCGATTGCAACCTTGATGCAGCAAGTATCTCTAAAAACCTCAAAACATGAAAGTTGTAGATCTCTCTCTTAGCGTTCCACAGCACTTTGAATCATCTCAATCGAAGCTTGGATGAGAGAGTTATGCCCAGATTACAAAACAATGTCGAAACTGTCTGAATTCACTTAATTAGTTATGTTTTGCAATTAACGCCTCTATTTGCATCCTAAATCAAAATAGAATAATAATGAGTACATTTAGGCAGAAAATAGGTATAAAAGACTAGACATTAAGGGGGGGTAAATATGACATTTTGCATTCTCATCACATATATACAAAGATTAAGATAAAATCCTTAACTTTATGAAAGGTCTACCTGTAATTGAATTCAGCATGACAGATTCTTTTAACCTGTATTTTGAATGCTGTAACCTGATTTTGCAATGCCAGCTAATCAATCATACACTGTTATGCCTGAGAAGGTGTGGCTAACGTGGCACCCAGCCAGTGCAAGTGGTCAGGCCTTGGGGCTGACGTGGCACCCAACTGGTGCAAGTAGTCAGGTCTTAGGGGTGATGTGGCACTCAGTCATTGCGAGTAATCAGGCCTTGAGAAGGCCCTGCAGATGTTCTGGCGCAGCTATATCATGTGGGAATGTGGGTAGCACACTCTCGTCAGTACAGTAGGTGCGCGCCAGACTAGGGAAAGGTTGGGGGACGCCCACGTGTCTAAATCTCTGCACACGTAGCATAAAACCCTTGAAGTAGGTAAACGACAGGACGCAAGGAAGGATCTGCGCAGGATCCGTCCCCCTTTATACGGATTTAGCAATGATTACACTAATGTATCCCACTATAAATAGAGAGCCTCTCTCCCTTTTGTGGGATTCGCTCATTCTACACTTTATTAGCCCTATTAACTCTGTAATAACTATTCTCTCTCTCACTTGTAATCCCAATGCTGTAAAGTCAGCTCGCGGACCGCGACCTGACCCCTATAAACATAAATACTATATCAGTGGATGTAGGATTCGCTTTTGAGCATCTGAACCACTTTAAACCTCGTATCTCTTTTCATACACTCACTCCCTTATTCACGTGTGTCTCCTAAGCCAGCTCGACGTTTCCCACGTGCGAGTCGTTGGTATCAAAATCACGCATCAACAGTTTGGCGTTAGAAGGAGGGTCTGATTTAGTATTCGTCCTTCATCAGGAGAATCTCTGACTAAACGGTCCCACAACAGCAAATGGCTCGAAAATTCGAAACTGAGCGAACCAATGATGGGAATGAAGAGATCCCCCAGATACAAGGGGACGCTTCTCTTGGGATACCCTCAATCCCACCAAATACCACGGGGGACATCCCTTCGAGTTCACAACTCGACCCAACTGTCTTGAGTTACCTGGAGAGGTTCAATAATACTCTTCAAACGATCAACTGAAGGTTAGACCGGTTGGATCGGGTCACGCCACCCGAAGCAAATGATGCAGTGCCACCGCCAAAAACGCTTGCAAGTTGCATGAAAGCGCGGAGGTGGGCAATAGCCTGTGCCGCGTGTATTACAGCGCGTCAAAGAAAGGGGAAGCAAGTGGCAAATAACGGGCCTAGGGGCTCTGAAGGGCCAACGAACACCGACCGCACTTCGGGTAGAATACCTGCGAAGTTGTGGCTCGATGACATGTTACAGCTAGAGCCATCCCACGCCACTCTGCATGAACACCCCCACGAAAGTACGAAGCGGGTCGATCTTTATCACCTCCGAAATGACGACCCTGATCGTCTGGAGGGAAGTTAACACACTCTGCTGGTCAGTCGACATCACCGTAGGGGTTGTGAAAATTCCCTAAATAATGCAACGCCACCAAACGGCTCTAGTCAGCGTGTGTCAAGATTGGCCAGGACTGCCGGCAGAGGCGAGGAGGAATCCGATTTGCAGTCATTCCTCAACCGTAACCATGAAGGTCGAACCCACGTTGTGGAAAGTAATCCTCAGGTAGCGCCGCTACCTTAAATCGAAGAGCTGCAGCGAGCTCTTGATCAACTAAAGGCTTGATAAAACGAGCTGGGGCAGGACGTAGAGGCGTCTCCCTTTTCTCCGGCGGTACTAGCCGCCCCCTTCCCACCAAGGTTCAGAATGACCAACATGCGGGCGTTCGATGGAAATTCCAATCTGCAGGATCACTTGTATGAATTCAACGACTTGATGGAACTTCACTAGGTTTTGGACCTAGCAAAATGCCGTTGTTTGGCAGTAACTCTCACTGCTCATGCCAAACGATGGCTCAGATCGCTACCGATGAGGTCGATCAGCTCGTGGAATCAAATGAGCTCGAGATTCTTGAGGCATTTCCAAGCGAACAGAAAATTTTTCATGTCCTTGAGCTATCTCAACAACATAAGGCAAGGAAAGGACAAGTCCCTACTATCTTACATTGACAGGTTCCATAGAGAGCTTCATAAAGTAGCTCATACCCCGGAAGAGTCTGTTCGGACTCTAATCATCGCGGGAGTTTGTCCACAGACCGACCTATGGAAAGAGCTACAAGCTGAGGACGATGTTTCCCTCACCCGCTTCTACAGCCTCATGGAGAAACATCTTCGCATTGAGAACTCCATGGCGGCACTCCACCGCCACAACCCCAGCACCTCGGGCAGTGCACCTAGTTGGGGAGAAAACAAGAGAACTGATCATCGTTGGGCTAATGAGGATCAGCTAAAAGGAAAGAAACAATGGTTTGAGCCTAAGTCTTATGCTCCGATTCCTCGTCATGATCGCGACAGGAATCAATATACACCCCTAAATGCATCTGTATCGGCTATTCTCGACAAGTCAGAAGAAGGCAGCCTGCTCAGAGAGCCCGAGCCCATGAAAAATCCCCCATCAGCCAGAAGCAGCAAAAAATATTGCCGTTTTCATAAGGATAATGGGCATCACACCGATGAGTGTCGAGCTATCAAGCAAGCAATCGAAAACCTCATCAAGCAGGGGCATTTTAAAGAGTATGTTGATAAATCCACTCCCGTGCAAAGGAAAGATCAGGGAGAACCAAGCAAGAAGCATTGTGATGACAAAGGTGCTTATAGCGTCAGAGTCATATTTGGAGGACCGCACCTCGCAAGGAATTCGCGAGGTGCCCAAGAGAGGTATGTTCGCGCAGCCCATCACGACCCGATCTGTGTGATGAGCACAACACAATGACCACCTAAGGTTCGCAAAGAGGAGGAAATTTCCTTCTCCGAGAAAGATGCAGTGCGGCTGCACCACCCTTATGACAACGCTTTCGTCATCACGCCCCTAATCGGGTGCTGCAACCTCCACAGAATGTCAGTGGACAACAGAAGCGCTGTGAACATTCTGTTCCAGCACGCTTTCAACAGGATGAACTTGAACGAGGCCAACCTGAAGCCAGCCCCTATTCCCCTATATGGCTTCACCGGGGATCACCATATCCCTAAAGGGACAATCTCACTTCTGGTCACATTGGGTGACTTCGACGAGGTGACCAGGGTCACTGAATTCTTGGTAGTGGATTGCCCCTCCGCATTCAACGGAATCTTGGGGCGACCTCTACTAAGGAACTTCAAGGCGGTCACTTCAATTTACCATCTCAAGATGAAGTTCTCTACCCCGACGGGGATAGGGGAAGTGAGCGGATCCTAGCACGCATCTCGCGACCGCTATGTAAGGGTAGTGCAGATAGCATCCAAGGGGAAAGGCATTCCACGGGGTATGCCCAAGCAGGCAATGGTGACCAGCAGGATCGAACCACAGCCTAGCCCGACCGAGAATAGTTTGGATCCTCATATTCAATAGAATCCTTCTAGTGGGCTTGTTGAGGACCTAACCGAAGTGTCAGTCGACCAAAGCGAGCCGAGTAGAGTGTTAAAGATTGGAAGCAATCTCAACCCCCAGCTCGCTACCGAACTGACTAACTTCCTCAGAGAGAATATTGATGTGTTCGCATGGTCACACATAGATATGGTTGGGATCAGCCTAAATGTAATTTGCCATGCCTTAAACATTGATAGTGAAGCTAAGCTAGTCCGCCAAAAGAGAAGGGAGATGGATCCGGAGCGACATGCCGCCTTAAAATCTGAGGTGGATAACCTGCTTCGAAACGGATTCATCCGGAAAGCACTCTACCCGAGCTGGGTTGCTAACCCGGTTCTGGTAAAGTAACCCGGTTCTGGTAAAGAAACCCAATGGCAAGTGGTGGACCTGCGTTGACTTAACCGAACTCAACAAAGCATGCCCAAAAGACAGTTTCCCCTGCCAGGAATCGACCAGCTCATGGATGCCATCTCCGGGCACGAGCTGCTAAGCTTTATGGATGCATACTCGAGATACAATCAAATTCTGATGTATGCACCAGAGGAAGAGCATACCTCCTTTATTATAGATCAGGGGCTATATTGTTACAGAGTTATGCCCTTCGGCCTAAAGAATGCTGGTGCAACCTACCAATGGCTGGTTAATCGTATATTTTCCGAGCAGATAGGGAGCTCCATGGAGGTCTATGTAGACAACATGCTGGTCAAGTCGCATGTCACTACATACCACATAGCACATCTCGTTGAGATGTTCGATATCCTCCGAAAATACATAATGAAGCTCAACCCCCTTAAATGTTCTTTCGGGGTTTCCTTAGGAAATTTTTTGGGGTATATGGTTAACCAGTGAGGAATAGAAATTAACCCGGAGAAAATCCAAGCTCTCCTCGATATGAAGAGCCCGACCACCAAGAGACAGGTTCAGAGCTTCAATGGGTGAATCGCAGCACTAAGTCGCTTTATATCAAGAGCTACAGATCGCTGCTTGCCATTCTTCAATGTGCTAAGGGCTAATAAAAAGTTTGAGTGGACTTCCGAGTGTGAACAAGCATTCCAGAGCATCAAAGAGCACCTCGAGAAGCCACCTCTTCTGTCCAAGCCTTTCCAGCAAGAGATCCTCCTCCTGTATCTGTCCGTCTCTCAGTTTGTGGTCAGTGCAGCCTTAGTTTAGGAAGAGAACAGGGTCCAATGGCCAGTGTATTACGTTAGCAAGCGTCTGTGGGATGCTAAGATGCGGTATTCGGAAATGGAATGGTTAGTTTATACCTTGCTGATCGCTTCCAGAAAACTACGACCTTACTTCCACGCCCATACAATCCATATAATGACCATTTACCCGCTCAAGCAAGTCCTCTAGAAGCCAGAGGTATTGGGTAAATTGCTTAAATGGGCCATGGAACTAAGTTAGTTCGATCTGAAGTACAAACCGAAAGCGGCCATCAAAGGGCAAGCTATTGCCGACTTCATATCAGAATTCTCATACCATCCGACTCGGTCGGAGCAGCAACCCAGCGAAGTCATTCAGGAAACCATCCAAAACCTATCGACCTGGAGCCTCTACGTCGATGGATCATCGAACAAAAAGAGGACCGGGGCAGGTCTTCTCCTTTTGAGTCCCCGAAAGGGCTTGCATTCATGGCATTCTCCGGTTCGGTTTCAAGGCAACCAACAACGAGGCCGAGTATGAAGCTCTGCTCACTGGATTGCGATTAGCCTGGGAAATAGGTTCGACCGCGATTAGCATCCACAGCGACTCCATGCTGGTTGTTAACCAGATTTTGAGGGAATACCAAGCCAAGGAAGAAAACATGATCAACTATCTGAAGAAGGCTAAGGCCACACTCGAGCCGTTCAAGCACTTCACCATCACTTAGATACCCAGAGATAGCAACTCTGTGGCAGATGCCTTAGCAAGAATAGCCTCGTCGCTAGATTCGAATGCACTGGAAAGCATTCTTGTTTGGTTCATTGAGATCCCCAACATTAGCTCGACCGAACAGGTCGTGAATGTGGCAGAATCAGTTTCTTGGATGACCCCTATCATTCAATATCTCCGAGATGGGACATTGCCCAGCGATAAAGTCCAAGCAAGGGTCTTACGAACTAGAGCTACTCGTTTCACACTAATCGGGGACCAACTGTACAAGCAAGGATTCAGCGCTCTTCTCCTCCGATGTGTGACAGGTGAAGAAGCAGACTATATCATGAGAGAGATACATGAAGGGATCTGTGGAAATCACACCGCCGCACGATCCCTTGCCAACAAAGTTGTTCGTTAGGGGTACTACTGACCCCAACTCCAAGAAGACACCTACAACTTTGTCAAGAGGTGTGACAAGTGCTAGAGGTTCGCGAACATACTGCGAGCTCCTTCCCACTAGCTGATAACTATGACCAGCCCCTAGCCATTCTCCATGTGGGGAATCGATCTCATTGGTCCCATGCCAGTTGGTAAAGGGGGAGTTAAGTATGTTGTGGTCACGGTAAATTACTTCACCAAATGGGTAGAAGCCGAGCCACTAGCCGTGATCACGACCAAAAAACTTAAGGACTTTGTTTTCAAGAACATAGTGTGCCACTATGGGATTCCTCACACCCTTATTTCAGACAATGGTAAACAGTTTGACAACAAGGAGTTCAAGCAGTTTTACGATGACCTGGGTATTCATAAAAAATTTGCCTCAGTCGCGAGACCACAAGCAAATGGTCAAGTTGAAGTTGTCAACAAAACCATCAAGCACGCTCTGAAGGCCAAGCTTGGTGCAGCCAAGGGGAATTAGGCTGACGACCTTCCCAAAGTCCTATGGGCATATAGGACAACTCCGAGAACCTCTACCTTAGAAACCCCTTTTTCACTAGCATATGGCTGTGCAACAATGATCCCTATATAGGTAAGAACCGGTTCACTTCGGAGAGACTTGTACAACGAAGTCGACAATGAAGCGCTTATGTGCGCAAGTCTAGACCTGGTTGAAGAACACCGCAGTAAGGCCTAGCTAAGAATATCAGCCTACCAGCAATGCACAAAAAGGTTTTTCGACTCTAAGGTCCGGAGAAGGGACTTCCAGGTCGGCGACCTTGTATTGAAGGAAGTTCTTCTCAGTGCTAGAGAACCAAGTGTAGGAGTTTTGGGACCAAACTGGGAAGACCCATACCACATTGCCAAAGTAATAAGACCGGGGACTTACCACCTTAAAAGGCTGAATGGTTCCATAGTACCGCGAGCTTGGAATGCTAAACATCTTCGACCTTACCATCAGTAATTCCGAACTCAATTTTTCCTTATAAAGTTTTTATCTTTTTTAACCTTTGTGAACAGCAAGTGTAACTCAGTTCTTTTATAATCACCTTACATGTACAATTCTATTCGCATAGAATGTATAGTTATATTCGCATGGACTTATCCCAGTGTAATTGTAAAAAGTTAGCATGCGATCCCATATACAAGAAATATATTATATTGTGACAAAATTAATTTTATCACATGTTATTTTGTCACTAGTAATATAGGTATTATGACAAAATAAAGAAATATCACATTAAGTATGACAAAGGGAATATATAGTGACTAAAAAAAATATTGTCATAATATTTTATCACAACAAAGAAACCCATAAGAAATATAGTGAAGAAAAACATTTTTATCATAATATTTCGTCACTAATTTTTGGAGTCAAATTTTGGCGCGTAGGAAAATTGTTTATTGTGACAAACATATTTCATCATAAAACATTTTAGTCACTAGATTTAGTTATACATGGTATAACTACAAATTATTTTGTCACAAAAGAATTTATTTATTATTACCAAAAAAAATTGTCATAATATATGCTGAAATAGAGGTATTAATGACAAAATGTTTGAGTCAAAATTTAAACACGGAGATAAATTGTTTATCATGACAAACATATTTGTCATAAAAACTTTAGTCACTATATTTAGTAATGCATGCTATAATTACAAACTAATTTATCACAAAATAATTATTTATCATTACCAAAAAAAAAAAATTATCATTTATAAATGTTAAAATCAAGATATTAACAACAAAATATTTGAGTCAAATCACTACAAGAAAATATACATTCTGCAACCAAATTTTTAGCAACTGCTAATACTAATTGCAGATACCCCACATTTAACAACTACAATGCAATTGGTCGGCAAAAGGGGATAAAATTTTGGGGGCCATTATTCCCATGTTTGGAGTCTAAAATTAATATTATGTGACTATTTGATTAGTTGCACAACAATTTACATTAGTGATTACTTTGTTTAGTTGGCAATTTTTGGGCCAAAGTTTTTCCAGATGAAGTAGAACAATTGGCATCTAAATATGCGATTTCACATCTAAATTTTTTATTATAAAAAACAATTATTAACAACTACACTATAGTAGTTAAATTAGATGACAAATATCTGTTAATTAATTGGTAATTATTTTGATTAGTTACAAAATAACAAAATTATCGAAATATTCAAGTTTTTTACAATAATTACATAGGTCCCAAGGTTTATTTACCAAAAGTATTTTGGGCATATTAAAAATAGTTGCAAAAACATATCTATAGCAGCTAAATTGAATTTAGTCGCCAATATTAATTGAAATTTTCATATTCCTACCTAATTTTCGTATTTCCGTCAAAGGAAAATCATAGACAACCAAGATAATTATTTGACAACCAAAAAAAATTAGTTCTAAAACGTGTTTGCCTGTTTGGCAACTAAAATTTTAGCAGCTACAAAATACGAAATATACTAATGATAACTAAAAAATTAGTTAAAAAAATCATGAACTAAAGAAATGACCAAATATTTTAAGTTAATTACTAAAAACCCATTCCTATATAAACCCAACCTAATTCCCAACCCCTGGTTCCCAATTTCCCCTTTCATATTTTTAGCTTACACAAACAAAGAGTTTTCAAGAATGGGATAAGATGATGAGGACCCAGAAAAGCGTCGGTCAAAATCATCAACGCCGTACAAATGGTTGAGCAACTTTCACCATGATCTGGTGGCGGGGGCGGTTATGGGCGGTGTAGTGCACACGATTGTGGCCCCAATCGAGGGAGCGAAACTATTGTTGCAGACCCAAGATAGCAACCTGACGATTGTTGGCAGTGGACGAAGAAAATTTAAGGGTATGCTTGATTGTATTGTTCGTATAGTCCGAGAAGAAGGCCTTTTTATCTCTTTGGAGAGGCAATGGTAGCAGTGTGCTTCGTTATTACCCTTCTGTTGCACTTAATTTCTCTTTTAAGGTATCTAATCAAGATTCTTTTTTTTTTGAAACTTCAGTTTATTTGTCATCTTGCTTTAGTTTTAATGCAATTTTTATTGGTTTGTACGGTTCTTTTCGTTTGGTGTTGTTTCTTGAATATTTTTTCGGAGGTTTAATACTTTGTCAGTTATTTTTTCTGTGTATAATTGATTTAAATTGGGTATTTAAAGTATTTCCGAGTAAAAAAAATGGGAATGCGATTGACCTGCAAGTCAGGCCACCGGGACTTGGAACAGGACAGCCACACTTGTCTTTGCAGTGAACTATAACTCCTCCCTTTAATACGTCTGCCATAATCTTTTTCCTTCTCTTTGATTCAGGTTTAAGTTATTGTGCCTTCTCTGTTAGCTAGCATTTTTGTTTCTATCAACTTATGTTCCATGTTCTTCTGTTAAACACACAGGTGGCACAAACAGCAGATTGATTCATGGCTTTCATGGCCTCACCATTTCATGCATTAGAGACAATGCCAACAAGTGCACATGTTCAATTTTTTTTTTTACCAAATTTAAGCCCAATTGCTTCTCTAAAGCTTAGTTATATACAATTAAAAGAAAACACTTGAAAACAGAAACTTTTGTGGCCCTGCTATAACAATTACTTGGTGTTACCAAAGGAGATTAATTTCCCAGCAGGATTAACAATTGAAGGATTTAGAATCTGATGCACAATTTCCTCAAATTCATTAGTTTCTATAATCTGAGTGCATAAACATCTAGTAGAATGGTAAACTTAATTTGTAGAATCTCTTGAGCTTATGAAACTCTGTTATCATCCGGAACTCTAATACATACTTAATACTTTGTCGGTATAAAATGAACCGAATGTAATTTTGGCTAAACAATTTCGATGCAGATACCTTATTACTTTATCAGTTATTCAAGGTACCACTTTTGCATAAATATAGATGGAGTGATATTATTGTGGAGTCTGAAAGTAGTAAAATCTCTAATGAAATCGAGTCTCTTATAGATCCCGTGTAGAAGGTGAGGTATTTTATATACCTGGGTTGCACATATATTTACACAATTTCTTACTTAGTATCCATGTGTGATGTGTGGGTATTTGAGTTTGCAGATTCCAATAGACTGGAGAGTGATCTTGAAGAGTTGAATTGCTCTTTGGATTTAGGTGCATCACAGGTTGGTTCTCCATTGACAACAATTTTTTTCTTTTACTATTTGCTTCAAACTAGTTCTTCAGTGGTTAGAAAAATAATATTAGCTCAAGCTTGTTGTTTAACTGAAGCAATTGATGATGATGGATTTTGTGTACTATTTATAGTTGGGTCAGGGGAAGGCTATAGAGGATCCACAGGCTGATTGCTCTAAAGATGGAGAAGATCGATCAGATATGATAAAAATTCATGAAGACCAGAAATTTGAGGTGTTAATCCTGAACACTTTTGTTTAGTGCTTCCATGATTGGTTTGTGAATTATTTTTTATGACACTTGTGTACCTTCCAGCTTTTAGAACTTGAAAGTGATATTGAAAAGAATAATGTAGAAACTTTGAACTCCTTGCAAGATCTCAATTCTATGTCCAAATTGTAGTGACCTACTTGAATGTTGTACTGACTACCAAGTTTGTGGATCTGCAGTAGCCCCAAGTTCTGGATTTTGTGACTCGTAAGAAAGGTTGATGATCTCTGTGTCAAAAATGAAGTTCCGATTTTCTTGGTCATAGTTATTGATATCATAACTAACGTAGTACTGTGACTTAAATTAACCTATTGAATCCTGCCTTCATTATATGTTTTTTTCTCATTTGTGTAGGAGGAGATTAAGATAACCAGCGTAACGGTCTTTGTCAATCCTTACTCAGAACCAGATGAAGAGGAAGAGGAGGCCAAAGAAGAGGAAAATCCTGAGGATGAAGATAAAGTTCGTTTCCAGACTCTTTTAAATATCAGCTGCCTTTAGAAATTATCATTATTGAGATGACAAAATATTTGTCATGCCTATATTATTTCGACAATAAAAAATTTGTCATGTAAAAGTATTTGTATCAAAATTATTTGTCATACTATTAATTTTTTTACGTCATTATACAATTTTTGACAAACAATATTGTCATATAAATAAACATGCGACAAAATAAATGTTGTCATAATAAAGTCGATGACAAATAAATTTCTGTCACTATTAAAATTATGAGTAAATAATTTAGTCACTATTCACAATTTTGGCAAAATTAATTTTGGCATAATATATTATTTTCTCACTATAAAACTTATCACTTGGTTTTTAAATGTAAATCAATTGTGACAAAATATTACTTGTAGTGATAAAAATTGTTTTCTATTGTTACAAATAATTTATTATAATAAATTAGTTTAAAGTGACAAATTATTATCGTCACAATTAATAATTAGGCTATGGTGACCAATGCTCTTTCGTCACCAGACACTTAAGAGTACGAGCTTAATGTGACTAATCTGGTGACCAATACAATTTCTCACATTAGCGAAATAGTTACAATTTTGATATTTATCATGACAAATTATTTTGTTGCAAGAAGCCTAAATTCTTGTAGTATGTAATGAAGGGTACAAAAATTATAAGTACTCATAGAAAACTATTATCAAAAGCAATATCTTTATTTACTTGTGAAAAAAGAAAGTACCTCACAAAACAGGACAAAAGCTATAGAGGTGGATCATTGGTCCTCGCCCTGAGGCCTCGGAGGGGTGATCTCGACGTCCCCGAGCTAGTCGTTGACCTCCTGTCCAAGAACAACCTCCTCAGGGACATACTCCGGATGTTCTTCCTGATCAGGTCCCCGAGCCATCTCCTCAGCCTCGGTCTGCACTAGGGTAGCAAGTTCGCCCCGTTACTCATCAGGGAGGTCGGATAGATCCATCTCAGGATTCTTTGTGTGAAGGACAAAGATAGCCCTTACTGTCCAATCTGTAGCCTTTTCCTCCAACTCTACCTCCTGCTGCTGCATTTCCGTGGTTAGCGAAGTAACGCGTTCCCGAGTGAAGTGAAGCGCGATCTTGAGCTCTGATTGCTACTTCTCTGAAGCCTCCCAGAGGTTAGCCCTTTCCTGCTCGGCCCGCGATAGTGTAGCCTTAAGCTCTGATCGCTGCTTCTCCGTAGCCTCCCAGAGGTTGGCTCTCTCCCGCTTAGCCTGCGAGGCCCGCTTGGAGAAATTTTGTAGCACTTGGTCTTTTTCATCAGCTTCCTTGGAGAGTCTTGTCACGGTCCGCTTAAGTTCCTTCACCTCCTTATCGCGTTTGTCCAGCTCAGCCTTCTGGAAGTCTACTATGCGGCGGGCAGCATCCCTCTTAGACAAGTGTTGAGCAACAAACGAGTCTTTGTCTGCTTGTGAAGCCTTTAATTCCTGTTGAAGCCGAGCGACCTCCAGCCATAGCTCGACCAATTCCTCGGCAGTCCCCAGCTGAGCCTTCTGCTAGGACATGTGGAGGGAAAGTAAGGCCTGCACAATAAAAAGTTAGCTTATTTCCCCTACAAAGAAATAAAAATCCCCGACGGGGACAGCTCGTTTACCTAGCTCAAGAGTTGGAACGATGTGGACATCAAGTCCGCGGAGTTGGACACCAAGAACTTCTCAAACGACTTCGCCAGCCCGCACTCCAACAATGTCAAAACTATAGGCTATAAATGGTCTAGGAGCTGAGCCATCGACTCTAACACGGGAGTGCCTGCATCCTCAGTAGCCAGAGCCTGTCCCGCGGGCTCCTTGCCCGGCCTCCTCCTGGGGACTGCAGCCACTGGTTGTGTCGGCTCTGGGTAAGGCTACGAACTCATGGGCAGGATGGCCAAACCCTCTCCTTCGGACTCTTACTCCTCGGTCTGGATTTGCCACCTTCTCTTAGGCCTTTGGGCCGTGGTCTACTCCATCGGCCGAACAGCCGAAGGCGGGGGAGCGTCTACTGGACGGGCTTGGGAGCTCGCCGACATCTCCCCAACGGGGGGACTGTTGGGAGCAGCTTCAATTTGTCTGGCAAAGCGCCTCCGAGGAAAAGAAAATTCCTTTTGTCATGGTGACTTGGACGCCGTGGGAGGCATGGTCACTGCAAGTGAACACCGTTAGTAAAACAGTTCGCTATAATGGAAGTCAGAAAGGACAAGTCAGGAAACTTACTTGGTAGGGGCTCCAAGGACGCGTTCGAGTTGAAGAAGCCGTACTTCCTCAAATTTTTGGTTGTCACGAGCAACCTCGTGTCTCGACCTTCCCGGGGCAAAGCACTAAATGCTCTGATCCTGTCCTGATCCGCGAGCAAGTTCAGACTGGTCGTTCTATTTATTGAGAAAAATAAACTGTTTGTTAGCAAAACAAAACAAAAACTCAGTTTAACGGCTTCCAAATGAAAGAGAACCTACTCGGATCTTCTTGGAAGCGGCAGATACCGCCATAACGGAAAAAGAAAAACTTTGTCTCATATGCCCCGCCATTACTTAGGTAGCTGTGTATCCCGACCTGTATTGTGTTCCGCTTGGACAGGTACCAGGAATCCCTGTTTATGCTCCTTTTTAGGACGTACGAGCAACCAAGTTCAGTCGCGGTTAGCTCGCCCAGTCCATTCTCCTGACACGCGATGTATATGGCTGTAGCCATCATGTACGCTTTCAGGGTAAGCTGCATTGGTGCGATCCTGAAGTGGTCGAGGACCGACCTGATAAATGGGTGGAAAGATATCAATCCCCCACCCTTGAAGATCTCTTCGGAGATTGCAGCCATTCCACGTGGAGGATCCCGAGCAGTGTACGCCCTCTCGTGGAAAACACGCACGCTGACAGCGAACTGGTTGATTACTCTTCCCAGCTCGGCATCAATAAGCACTGAGTAAATTTCCTCGGGAGGATTCGCAGGGGCATCCTTTGCGGGTGAGCTGGCCCTTTCCTCGTCCTAGTAGCTGAGGGGTCCATTTTACAATCTGCAAAGGTGACAAAAGGGTACCATTCAGTCTTCATACGTCGTTCCGTACGATGACATGGAGGAGAGATATTTCCTCCCTAAAACCAACAGAAAACCTAGCCGAATACTCGATGAGCCACCATAATGGCTTCGGCCTAACGGAGAATATCTTATCTCATACAAGCAATCGACTGATAGTCGTCGCACGGCAACTAAAGAAGGCCAAAAGCAAAATCAAAAGACAGAAATGAGTCGTCTTTACCTCTTGAGATGGAAAAATGGCTTCTGCTTTTAAAGAAAAAGGAGCACCACTCTGAGAATCAAGACTTGCGAAAGTTTATCCTCCGTGAGTATGAAAGTGTTTGTGTCTTTGCCTGAAGGGAGTTTGGGGTTTTATAGTGAAAAGAATGGCGCTTTGGTTTCCCAAAATCGAGCGATGTTTGGGTGGAAAATGCATCCGACCGTTGATCGTGACCACATGTCGTGAATTGACAAGGAAGAGTGACCATCACGCCTCGAGAAACCAGACCATCATCCCCTTCCGTTGAAACGCTCAAGCGACGGCACACTTTCCCTACTCCACATTTAATGCGCCCACACTCGCATTTAATGCTCTGGTAGGGAATGTCGTTTCAGCATGGCTCGCATTCAATGCATCTGGCTGGCATTTATGGCGCATCAGAAACGTATGTCAGAGCAAAGGGTAGCACATTTAATGCGCCCACTGCGAAAGACGCAACAGATGGTATTTGAAGAGGTCGCTATCTAAAACACTCTTTGCCATCAGTCCGAAGCGAGGCAACCCTTCGAATTTTTCATCGTTCGCAAGGCAACGTGATTGTTCGACCTTATCTCATGTCAGCTACGAGGTGGCATGACGTTATCTACGAACATCATGGTCATCTGTTCTCTTAAAATCTGCTATGTGTAACAGGTCGTATCGACCAGCATCTCTTCAAGCACACCAGCTCAGGGCATTTATAGTTTCCAAGATTCGATCCTCAAACCTTAAAAACCAGGGGACTTCTGTTATGCCTGAGAAGGTGCGGTTGACATGGCACCCAGCCAGTGCAAGTGGTCAAGCCTTGGGGCTAACGTGGCACCTAGCTGGCGCAAGTAGTCAGGTCTTGGGGGTGATGTGGCACTCAGTCAGCGCAAGTAATCAGGTCTCGGGAAGGCCCCGCAGATGTTCTGGCGCAGCTATATCGCGTGGGAATGTGGGCAGCACACTCCTGTCAGTATAGTAGGTGCGTGCCAGACTGGGGAAAGGTTGGGGGATGCCCACGTGTCTAAATCTTTGCACACGTAGCATAAAACCCTTGAAGTAGGTAAACGACAGGACGCAAGGAAGGATCTGCGCAGGATCCATCCCCTTTATACGAATTTAGCAATGATTACACTAATGTATCCCACTATAAATAGAGAGTCTCTCTCCCTTTTATGGGATTCGCTCATTCTACACTTTATTAGCCCTATTAACTATGTAATAACTATTCTCTCTCTCACTTGTAATCCCAATGCTGTAAAGTCAGCTCGCAGACCGCGACCTGACCCCTATAAACATAAATATTATATCAGTGGACATAGGATTCGCTTTTGAGCATCCGAACCACTTTAAACCTCGTATCTCTTTTCATACACTCATTCCCATATTCACATGTGTCTCCTGAGCTAGCTCAGCGTTTCCCACGTGTGAGTCGTTGGTTTCAAAATCACGCATCAACATACACCATTCTGCCTATGCTGAAAATTTTAAATCTCAAGATTGATTTCCTAAGAAGACATTATCACCCATAACATGAGCAGGAGAACCATCCTCTAGCTCTGCACCCACTAAACTTACCATCATATCGTGGATATTTTTTGGTTTTACAAGCTCCAACCGATGTTCAGGGGTATGCTGCTGATTGAACTGTCCTGGAATGATGGACCTAGAATGGTAATCTACATCCCCCAAAGGCAACTTGTGTTTGGGATTGCTTAAATAAATTCAATCTTAAGGAGATATATATATAAAACAGCAAGTGATTCTAAATACCATTGTCACTATGTGTGGGGCAAATTTTATCTAATTAATAATTTATA